GCAGGCCCTCCCCGCCCAGCTTCTCACCCCGCGCCTCCTGAGGAGTCGGCGCAGACAGACCCCCACTGCCCCCTCCTGTGCGGCTCCGTGGAGCTCCGTGTTCCCGAGGACCCACTTTGGGATGCGTTAACACCCGTGTGTAGTTCTAGTGTTTAGGTGGGGGGATAGGGACAGGCCATTAGGTAGTTGGGTTCGTAATTAGTTGTGGACTCGCAGGAAGATAGCTGTGTCATCGGTAAGCAACAAAGAGAAACCACCTGATGTTCACGGTTGTTGGCGTTCATATGTTCTTGAAACGCAAAGTTTTGAGCTAAATAGGTTCGATTTTTTTTTAATGATGAGGGAATAATAGATAATGTGGAATAATTGCTTTGTTGCATGTTGATTGTTTTTTCACCATTTGTTTAGAAGTAGACGTTCAGTCCTTGGGGTTTTTTTTGTTTGTTTTCCTAGTCTAATATCTGCAGTTTCCAGGACGTGTATTAAACTCATTTGTGCCGTGTTGCTCTAGATTACTTTGCTCCGTATTTTACTACTTCCCTATTTTATTACTGAAATCTTCTTGATTTAGAGTAAACCTATGCCTCTCTGGATTTGCTGAGTCTCTCTCATTACATGAACCAAATCAGTGTTTGTGACTACTGTTAATTTGAGGTGTATTATTTCAAATATTTGTGTTTGATAACGGTTTACTTATTGTTAACTCATGACTCTTAGGAGACTACATAATAGCCCTATAACTTTATGCACTGCAGTAGGAACAAGTTATTGAAATACGAGTTTCACTTAACAAATTTAAAATTTATAATTGTTTTAAGTTATGTTAAAATTTTAGCTCCATGCTCTTGGAAGAGTTAAGTAGTTCATACTTTCTTATGCTGTTTTACAGTTTACATTTTACGTAAATAAATAACTACTGTAACCATATAAGGAAAAAAGTGGATTAAAAAGGAAAGGAAAATTAAATGATAGATACTATGCTTATTAAGAGTACAATAATAATTTTATGTTTCTCACATAAAATCTCAGTTGATTCTAGTGGTAGGTAGAACAGATTTTATTATCCCATTTTATAGATGAGGGAACTTAACGTCCACAGCGTTTAAGTGACATGCACCAGGGTCACAAAAAGGATCTACATCTTGTCTTGACAATTTTTTTCAGCAGCTTCAAAACAAGTGGCCTTTTTTTGTTTCTTAAGAAAAAAAACTGAACAACTGTAGTCTTTATGTAGTTACTGAAATTGGTGTAGAAATCAGGAAATCTAGGATTATGGTAGTCATTTTTTTTTACAAAAAACACAATTGATGGTGTCCAAATGTTCCTAGAAAGCACTCTTGGGCTAATCAGTTAATTTAAAAGAAGAAATGCTAGATTTAACTAACGAAGGCCATTAGCAGTCTGTCAGAGAGTCTTTCTGTCCCTTGACTGTTCAAAATACTGTTGGCTTTTCTAGAGTTTTAGGAAATTAATCTCCAAGACTAGGTAGGATTAGTGTCACTCCAGGAATTTGTAGACAATGGAGTCAGGAAACTGCAATACTTACAGGTTGCCTAGACCTTTATTATAACTGAAGAATAAAGCCAGAACTCGATTTTCTTAGCTCTGAGATCCAACAATAATATACTAACTCAGTAGAAAATTAAAAAGATATCTTTATAGCTGGAAGAAGTGGACATAAGAGTGGACACACTTTGGTTCATATAACCACTCAAGTGGGGAACATTAGGCAACTTTAGTGAAATTTTCATGGATGAATTAAATATCATAGGATTGATGTTAGGAAACTGGACAGATTACTGCTAGCTCAGCCAAAAAATTAACAAGACTTTTCAAAGTATCATAGCTATGTAAATTGAAAGAGAGAAAACTGAGAAAGATTTTGATTCTGTTCTTGGGAAGGTAGAATAATCTGACAAGGATCCTGAAGCAAAGGTGTCAGTTCACTGACTAGTGTTGCTAGTGGGCTAAAATTTCCTTGACGGACACTATTTACTGCCTTTTTGGGTTAAAATAGACCATAAAGATCTTTAGGTTTTTAACCATTGGTGGTTTTTCTAGGTTGGAATTGCTGGCTTTACTAGGGTCTGTAACACTTCACTTCTGAGTTTCTACTGTTCTCTTTAGCTACCTTTACTTTGGATTCTGCTGGTAACACCAAGACACTATTTTTTCCTGAAATTTGAGGCCCGCTTAACTCCATATTATAGTTCTAATTTGATTAAGACTAAGAAACTAAAGATACTGAAGTTGGCTATTAATAATCCTGCCCAGAGAGTGTTAAGATAGCTCTCATTGAGTTAAGTGATTCTATTCAACCTTAATCTCTTGGTCAAGCAGCTGCCATTGACACTAGGCTGAGTCACAGACGTTATTAATGAGGATGTGACATCTGGGACGCTAACACATGGTACAGCATCAGTGAGGGAGTGCAAAGCACCAACCTCAGCAGTAGCAGATCCTCCTTCCAGCTACCTACTTGACGGGACCCCCACTTGGATGCCTCACAGGAGTCTTAAGTCTAAGTCTGTTTCCTGCCTGAACATGTTTTTTTCTCCCCCAGCGTTCTACATCTAAGTAAACGGCACCACCTTACATCCAATTGAATAAACCCTAAATGTGTGTGTCGTCTTTGACTCTTAACTCTTCTGTCTCTTTTTATCTTGTGTTCCCTATTGTTCATGACATTCCCAGTCACACAGGCCATTCCCTACACCTAAATTCCTTCTGCTTTGTGAACTTTTCTGGCTCTTGACATGACTCAGCTCTTTCATCCTTTATTTACCTTCAATGTCACCACAGAGAGGGCTTCTGACCAACCCAAAGAGGTCTCATTTTCCCATAGTTCAGTTCTTTTTCCACAGCATTTATTGCTATAATTATTTATGATTGTTTACTAAACAAGTACTTTTTTTGTACCATTAGATTTTAAGCTCCACGGAGGACAGGCAGTGTTTCATTTGTTTTACATTTCGTTTATAGCCCCATGCCTAGCACAAAGTAAATGTGAAACAAACTAGTGAATGTATGAGAGAATGAATGAAAAGGATTCCTCATGCCTCACAGTCTTTTCTAAGAATATTCCCATACAGCTGTTTCCTAGGTTGATAATCTTGTCATTGACTTTGAAGAAATGCTCAGAATGATCTCATTGCAACTGATGCTTTTCCCCATCTGCTTCTTCAACATCTATCAGTCCCCTGATGGGCTTTATTTTTTTGGCCTTTCAGATGCATTCTAATCCCTATTTTCCATGGCCAAATTTTTCAAGCCCCTATTCCTAGTATTCCTGGATCTCATCTCACATGAAATATACTCAAGTATTAGTCAAGTATTGTAAGCATACCAAGATACTATATCCAAAAATTAGCTATTAATTTCACAAAATAGTTATTGAGAGCCTGATATATGCCACCTACTTATGCCAGGTTCTGTTGTAGGCATTTGAGTTGTATCAGTAAATAAAAAGGAATACAGTCCTTCTGGAGCCTACCTTCTAATGGAGGGAGACAATCAACAGTAAGCATAATAAGTAAAAAACATGTAGTCTATTAGAAGGTGATAAGTATTAATTTTAAAAAAGCAGGAAATAAGGGACATTTGTGAATACAGTAAAATCTTGGATTGCAAGTAACTTGGTTTGCAAGTGTTCCGCAAGATGGGCAAACATTTCTAATACATTGTAACTTGGTAAACGAGCGATGTCTTGAAATACGAGTAGTTTGTTTTTGGAACAAATGCTCACAAACCAAGGTATTACTGTAATGGGGGGTATAATTTATTTTTTTAGTTTTTATTTTTTTAAAAGATTTTATTGGGGAATTGGGGAAGGGGAACAGACAAGTTGCTGTCCTTTTGTTCTTCTGTCTAGTTGTGGAGTACGTTACTTCACTGGCCCATGTTGGTATTATCATTGCGCTCTTCCCCGGGGAGGCAGTCGCTCACCGGCCGTTGGACGGCTGCTCACGGCGGCTCACAGTGGCTCACGGGCAGCCCAGCTCCAGGTTGAGCTGTTGTTCACCATCTTAGCTGTAGAAGGCGCAGCGTCACTGGCCCTCAAAGTGGGATCTGAACCGGGGCGCTGCTGCCCAGAGCTGATGTCCCAAGCCAACTCTTAACCTAACACACCACTTGGCCAGCCCTGACTTCTAATTATTAATGGATACTATTTGCATAAATTAGATGCCTTCTAATGGATACTATTTGCATAACTTAGATGTCTTCTTTTAGAATGCTTTGTATAATCTAAGTGGCAGTATTTTGTTTTTTATTTTTATTAACGCATATAGTCACACTTTTTATGGAAAAATTCCATTTTTAAATTTGGTAGAAAATAGTATTTGTGGGATTATATTTTATTTGAAGTTACAGATTTCCAGGAAAAGAATCAGCAGATACTGGCCTTATGTTATAAGAATCCTTGAAATGTTTTATAGGTGATGATGAGCAGTCTACACAGATGGCTGCAAGTTGGGAAGATGAGAAAGTGACAGAAGCATCTTCAAACAGTTTTGTTGCTATTAAAATCGATACCAAAAGGTTTGCTTATGTTTTCTTTTTTTTTTTTAATATTATAGTCTTTGTGATTTATGGTGATGCTTGTAAATTATAAGAATGTTGATTTTTGTCTAAGGCATATCGAGGACTTAAATTCTGATTGCCATTTTCCAATTTCATCATTATATCGTGCTGAAAAACAAGCTCTCCTAGTCTACCAAGCAGGAATACATTGGAAGTAACTAAATCATATTGAATATCTCTGAAAGTTTCACCACTCTTTTGGATCCTATTTTTTAGGAATGAAGTAATTTAATTCAGTAGAAATACGGACATTTATGGGTCCCTCATAGTACCTGATATCCACAAGTCTTTTATTTAATCCATCCCTCCTTCCCCCTTAAAATTTTTTCTTATTATAGGAAATTTCAGACATACACAAAAGTAACAGAAGAGTGTAATGAGCCCCCATGTACTCAGCAGCTACTTTGATCATTATCAACTCATGGTCAGTCTTATTTCATCTATACCCCCACCCACTTCCACTCATCCCATGTAATTTTGAAACAAATCTCAGTCATCATATCACTTCATCTATAAATATCTTACTATGACTCTGAAAAATAGGCATTCTTAATTTTTTAACATAACTGTAATACTTCAAAGACAAAATAATTCCTTAATATGAAATACCCAAATTTTCAATTGTCTAAGTCATAGTTATTAATTTGTACAGATTGTTTGGTTCAGATCCGTGATGGTCCACACATTGTGATGTGTTTAACTGTGTCATGTCTTTTAGCCTGTAGGCTTCCCCTCTATATCTATCTCTATGTCTTTTTCTTTGCAATTTATTTTGTGAAGAAACCAGGTTACTCATTCTGTAGTTTCCTACAGTATGGATTTTGTTGATTGCAGCCCTGTTAGTGTCATCTAGTTTGTTCTTCTGTCCTCTAGTTCCTGTAAATTGACAGTTGGAATCAGGTTAGATTATTTTTCTGCCTCAAAACTACCTCATAGATGGTGGTATGTCTTCCTTTAAAAGGCACATAATGCCCTGTTGTCTCTCTTTATGATGTTAGCAGCAGCCATCAATGAGCAAAGCCTAGAAACATTAATTCATTAGTAATTGCAAAGTGGTATGCCTGTCCTTTGATATTGATAATATCAGAATTAATAATGTTTGAAAATTACTGTCAAGATTAAAATATTCAGAAATTTACCTGTAAGTTTATAAACTTTATTTTTAAAATTTCAATATTAACAAAAACTTCCTAAATTATAGTATAGTCTGCCTCACAACAAGTTACTAAACTATATATTTATTGATCTGTAATAGTTTTTTAAGAAGAATCTATCATTTTAATGTATATTGTATCATATTGTCCATTACCTTCCAGAAGTACCTATTAGAGTCAGTAATGGCAGGAGGAATGTTATTGGGAATATGGAAAAAATGAGAATTTCAGAATTCTTGAGATTAAATTCAGACTTACTTGTCCAGCATTTTTAAAAACAAGTTTTTATTAGTGAATGCAGGGACACTTGTGTATAGTGATGGTTGATGTTTCTTTAACTGTGGACTGCCTGCTAATAGAATCTAGTGTGTCTTTTAAATTATGAAAAGTAAGTTGTATTTATGATACAATAATAACAAAATTACCCAACGTTCTAGGAACATTTTAGTATATGCTTATTTATGGAGATAGCTTGCATTGAAAATAAATTGGTAGGAAATGCATCAAAAGTTTAAAGTGGTTATTTCTGAGAAGGTAGGTTTCTTGGTAATTTTTTTATACTTTCCCTATTATATTTTCAGATGTTTTTACGATCATGTTTTATATTCAGAAAACTGAATTCAAATTCTTGGACACAATGGATTCTTAAATTTACTCATCTACATTTATGTATATCTCTTATTCACATATAGTATGAAGCCCCTCTCCCATTCCTGTCTTTAACCACCTAGTTCCCTTCTTTGGTGGCAACCAAATCAAGAAAATATATGTTTCCCTCCCATTTTTTACATAAATGGTAGCATGTTGACATACCTTTTTGTACCATTTTTTCTTTTTTTGATTTATAATCAGTTTTTATTGCTGGATATTTAGGTTGTTTTGAAGCCTTTATTATTACAAGGTATTATATTATCGCTTGCACAGGTAAGTCATAGGCATTAATATCTTCTTGTTACAAATTAAGATATTATATTCAGGTATGTCTCCTGCTGAGGAAGCAACATGCCAGATACTAAGTTGAATATTAGCCACCAAATCCAGCCACCAGTTTGTGGGGGGCAAGAGAAAGTTCTTTAATCAGAAAATTATAAAACAAACCTAAAAAAGGTCTGAAATAAGAATTATATTTTTCTGTTTCCAGCTGATGGCTGTGAAAGTAACTAGTAATTTCAAAAAAATGCTTGTAATTGGTACAGTAAATTTTTATAAAAACAACTCGGTATTTTGGAAATACTTGCATTCATCTAATGATTTTCTGTTTGATTTTGTTTTACAGTGAAGCCTGCCTACAATTTTCACAAATCTGTATCCTTTCAATGAAGAATCGGTTTTATATATTTTTTGCTTGGGGATTTACCTTTCTCTTGGTTGAGTCATGACATTCGAAAATTACTCATTTTTATTTACAACTCATACATTCTTGTTTATGGGAACTTTTACTACTAAGTGTCCTGAGAGACAATATATTGTAACAAATGGAATCATAGGGAGTTTTGTGGGGTTTTTTTTAGCTGTGCCATCCTGCCACCTGTTGGCAGCTTAGTGGCAGCTCATCTCGGGCCAGGAATTGAACCAGCGACCCTGCTGCTCAGAGCTCTCACTCTTGAGTGAGCTCTTAACCAACTGAGCCACTCAGCTGGCCCTCATAGGGAGTTTTTTTATTGTGAACATGTAGAAAGCAGTATGGAACAGTTTGGGATGTTAGAAGTAGCTGGCAAGAGGCAAGATAGATGTAAAAGTTATGAAAAAGGGGGGGGTGTAGTTAGTGAATGTTCTCCACTCAAATATGCAATACAAATCATAATTCACATATTTCATGCACTACAGGCATAATGATACAATAGTTGCAATTATTTTGTGAATATGTTAGCTGATTATATTGTGAAATTCACAGATGATTTGTTTAGCTTTGTTATCAGTAGTGTTTCATAAAATTATTCCCTTGTTTCCCATGAATTGTTAGACTTAATTAAAATATACAGATCCTGTAGTATGTGTTCCATCCAGTTTCTTTATTGGAGACAGTGGAATTCCCTTGGAAGTGATAGCAGGAAGTGTTTCAGCAGATGAACTTGTGACCAGAATTCACAAAGTCCGGCAGGTGAGGAGGAACAGAATTGTTCTCTGTATAAACATGTGAAAATGATATGCCAGGAACTCGACACTGGAATATTTTTGAGCTGCTCTGTATATTCAGGAATCTGCCATGCCATTAAACTTGAAAGGTAGTAAATACTCTCTTCCTGGACTGGTTTTAAAAATAGCATTAGGAAGTTAGAGGTGCCTGTATCCAGTCCTTGGGTGACTTCTTATTTTCCCTTCTCTTTTCCTACCTCACCCAACCACAAAGTACACATCACTCTTTGTTGCAAGAGAGTTCCTGTCACATTGAGGTACTAAGGGTATATTGCTTGGCATGTTTTAAGGACCTGACTCAATTTCTCATCTGTATTCACTTGGGTAGCTGGCTAATATAGCTTGTAACTTTTTTCCTTGAATTGTAATTTAAAGGAAAAGCAATGTTGTACTTTAAAAATCTTTTTGCTTTTGGGGAGGCCGGTTAGCTCGGCTGGTTAGAGCTCAGTGCTGATAACACCAAGGTGGCCGGTTCTACCCCCACATGGGCCATTGAGTTGTGCCCTCCACAACTGGATTGAAACAACTACTTGACTTGGACCTAGTGGATCCTGGAAAATCACACCGTTCTCCAATAAAATTAAAAAAAAAAATCTTTATGCTCTTGGCACCTTACAGTAGAATCCCATAAAATTATGTTGTGTTTAGGATTATGTATTTCAGACTTACCTAGTTAGTAAAGAATATACCTTGACTTACTCATATTTTGGTCTCATCTCCCATGGTACATTGAGATTCTTATCTGTTATTTACATTTCAATGTTTTCTCTCTAGATGCACTCATTAAAAGGTGAAACATCAGTGGCAAATGGCAGCCAATCAGAAAGTTCAGTCTCTACGCCATCCACCTCATTTGAACCCAACAGCACTTCTGAAAACTCTCAGTCCAGAAATGTAGAGCTTTGTGAGACACCACCCACTTCTGCTGATACAAAGTCAGATTCTGCAACAGGTAATTTTTAATGTACTCTCTTGGGTACAGTAGAAGTACTCCTTCACTTTATTTTAAAGGCCACGGATTAATATCCTTAAAAATACAAATTTTATATTTCTCTTCCTCACATTCATTTAACTTAAAATATAAGTGTTGTCTTATACATATGTTTGTCATTTAGTGGCAGAAGAGGATAAAGTCAGTGAATATGCCCTTGAAACCCAAATAGGTAACAGTCCAGAAGAGTCGATTTGTAATTACTGCTACTGTACTGTGGTTCAGGGACTGTCACTATGACAGCAGTTTTATAAATCTCTTCCCAGCCAGAGGATTTGGAATGGTCCAAATGAACTAATATATTTGGAATTATTTTTGTAACCTATAAAATATTATACACACTTAAGAGAATAGTATTTGCATTTTTAAAATTAGCATCAAAAAATAATTGTGAAATAGAGCTTGTAGAAATAGAGGTGTGAATGAAGAGTGATTGATAGAAAACGCAAAATAAATTTTATACTGTGTATGAGGGATCCTGGTCAGAGTTGTTTGGTGTAATGTAGCTTTGTATTAGGCAACGTAGGGTTAGGTAAATCAAGATTCTGCTCCATCATCCTGATAGATAATCACCAAGCTTCTATCTGAATATAGTTAATGACAAGAAGCTTATTACCTTGCTTAGGAAATCTATTCTATTGTTGAAGCCCTAGTTTTTAGGAAAATTCTTCCTCATATTGAGTTGGAACAGGATGCCCTATAATTTTCCATTAACTTTAGTGCTGCTTACGGAGTTGCACATAACAGGTTTTGAATATTTGAAGAACAGCTGTCAGGACCCTTCTCAGTAGTCTCATTTTAAGGTTTTATATGCACAGACCACTCAAATTCTGGATGCCTACAGGATTGGGGGACTTATGAAGGTAGTCCATTTAGGTGTATAGCAGAATGGTTATCTTTTATATTTACCTGGATATTTATCATTTCCAAAATTTTTCATTCCCTTTTGAATACAAATGCTCCTTGACCTGTAATGGGGTTAGGTCCCAATAAACTCATCATAAGTTGAAAGTACCATAAGTTGAAAATGCATTTAATACACATAACCTACTGGACAACATAGCTTAGCCTAGCCTACTTTAAACGTGCTTAGAACACAATATCAAAAAAACACTATCAACACAGGACATGTAGAGTATTGGTTGTTTGCCCTCATGATCTCATGTCTGACTGGGAGCTCTGCCTGGCTGCCACTGCCCAGCATCATGAGAGTATCTTACTGCATATCGCTAGCCCAGGAAAAGATTAAAATTCAGAGTATGGTTTCTACTGAATGTGTATTACTTTTGCATCATTTAAAGTAAAAAAATAATCAAACCATTGTAAGTGTGTATTCAGTAGGAATGGAATCACTTTTATTTAGTAAATAAAATGAATGCCAAGGATATTTATAT